CAGAAAACTTTCCCAATTTGGTGAAGGAAATAGACACGCAAATCCAGAAAGCACAGAGAGTACCAAACAAAATGGATGCAAAGAGGCCCACTCCAAAACGTACGATAATTAAAATGCCAAAGGTTAATGATGAGAGAATCTTAAAAACAGCAAGAGAAAAGAAGTTAGTTACCTAGAGAGCAGTTCCCATAAGACTATCAGCTGATACCTCAAAAGAAACTTCACAGGCTAGAAGGGACTGGCAAGAAATATTCAAAGTCATGAAAAGCAGGGACCAACAGCCAAGATTGCTCTACCCAGCAAAGATATCATTTAGAATCAAAAGACAGATAAAGAGCTTCCAAAAAAAATTAAAGTTCATCATCACCAAACCATTATTATATGAAATGTTAAAGGGATTTATTTTTAAAAAAAGATCAAAACTAGGAACAATAAAATGGCTGAAAATACATATTTATCAACAACTGAATTTAAAAAACAAACTAAGCAAACAAGAAAAGGGACAGAATCATGTATAGAGAGAGAGTTTTGACGGTTGCCAGATGGGAGAGGGGTATGGGGGAATGGGTGAAGAGGTGAGGGGATTAAGAAGCACAAATAGGTACTTACAGAGTAGCCATGGGGATATAAAGTACAGTATAGGAAATAAAGGAGCCAAAGAGCTTATATGCATGACCCATGGACATGAACAAGGGTGAGGGGATGGCCTGAGGAAGTGGGAGGTGCTGAGTGGAGAAGGAGAAAAGGGGGCAAAATCTGGACAACTATAATAACATAATCAATAAAATATATATTTTTTTAAGGTACCAAAGACTACTAAGGTAAAAAGAACTCAGGAACCAATGTGATAAGGTTCCTACTAGCCAATTTGAGCACTAATGACAGTAAATGCAAGGAACTGAAACAATGATTATGTTTTAGTCCCTGAGTTTATAATAATACAAAAAGAAAGAGAGGGAGAAAGGCCTTGAAGGAGGAAAGGATGTTGACTGACTTAACATCATTTAAGAGGGACACTTATGACCAACTCACTTTTTGAAAGCTTATAACTAAAGAGAAAGACTTAGGCATTTATCTTGCCTTATAAACTCTACCAGTGAATGAATAACCAAGTATTAGATGGGCTTGAGTTTCTCTCTACACAAGTACTCTACTAAAAAGCAGGGATGACAGAATGTCACCATTATGCAACCTTAAATTAATTAATCGACCTAAACCATGTTCTTTTCAATTTTGACTCGACATTTTGAGCTTGATAATTCTCTGCTGTAGGAGCTATCCTATGCACTGTTAGGACATTAAGCAGCATCCCTGGCCTTCTCCCACTAAATGCCTACAGCAGCCCTCTTCCCTAGCTGTGAGAACCAAAAATGTCCCAGACATTAACAATGTCCCCTGGGAAATCACCCCTGCCTAAGAACCACTCATCTACACACTACACACCACTGGCTGCTAAGTTCACAAACACAAAAAAAAAAAAACACAGTATGAGCCTTCCTAAGAGAACATATCACTACTTACAAAGCAGTCCTGCCTCTCCCCACCAACATAAATCACAATTTAATCAAGCCTCTAGTGCCAAATACAGGAAATAAAGAAACAGAAGTTTAATGACACCACAATGATGCAATTAACAAAATCTAGCCTGTTGGAAAAAAATTATAGGATAAACCCATTTTTCTTCAACAAATAATTTGCAAGAGAAAAACAGAGAGGAAATCTAGAGATTAAGAGATTAAAGAAACATCATCCAATAGTTTACTTCAATTCCAACAAACTGCAAAAACAAATTTTAAGTGTATTTGTAAGATTAATTTGAATGCTGCCTGGATTGTTTGGTATCAATAATATATTAAGCTTAACGTCCTTATATTTGAATGATACACACGGAAATGGCAAATATATCACATTGTGGATTTGGCTTAAAATAACGTGAGACAGAAAGTAGTGTGGTTTAGATTAAATAAGATTAATCATAAACTGGTAATTGTTAAAGCTGGTTACAGGTTCACAGGATTCACAGTACTACTTCTCTAAGAGTTTAAAGTTTTTTCAAAACAAAATGTTAAAAAAAAGCATTATCTTCAGCAAATATTCACTACAATTTAATCAGTCAACACCGTACCTCAAGTCCAAGTAGTTCAGTTAGTGCATATACATTCTACAGCTAGTTCATCCAGGCTCAAAATCAGATATTCTCTGGAGTACTTTGAAATTACTGAACAGATTTCAGGTTACTAATAATAACATTTCAGTTCCTAGGCCAAACTATTTCTGTTCATGTTCCATGGTATGGAACTCTGGGAACTACATTTGGTATTTGCTCAAGCCCCCTAGACCCAAAACCACTTTTCTGGATTACTATGGGCTACACCTACATGTAAATACACCTGCTACTCTCCCCTATGATAAGGTAAAATGGCTAGGTTCAACTATCATAGACATACCATTTCCATCAACTTCTTGTTTGGATCCAAAGCAGTAAGACCTATTCTTGACCAGCAAAATTAAATACTTGGCTTCTAGCCCTTTGCAGACTATAATGTCAAATTCTCTGCTATCCAGAGCGTAACATAAACTCAGAAGAAAGACAGGTCTATAACTAAGTTTGATAAACGATTGTTTAAAATGATGTAAGTATTGAAAAAATATCCAAATATATTTTTAAAATAAGTCAACCCTTATTCCACTGAATTCCACTTTTTGGACTATATCTGAAGGAGACAGAAACACTGTGTCAAAGAGATATCTGTACCCCCATACTTATATAACAGCATTATCAGCATTATCTGCATTATCTGGGTGTTGACAGATAAATGCATTAAAAAAGTTGTAAGATACAAATACATGAAAGAATATTATTAAGCCATAAAAAAATAGAAATCTTGCATTTGGAACAATATGGATGAACCCTGAGGGCATTATGCTAAATGCAACAAGTTGAGACAGAAAGACAAATATTTTATGATCTCACTTATATGTGGACTCTTAAAAAAACTCATGGAAAAGAGATCAGATTTGTGGTTACCACAGGTCAGAGATGGGGACTGGGAACTGGAATAACAGTGGTCAAAAGATATATAAACTTCCAGTGATAAGACAAATAAGAACTGGGGATATTAATGTACAATGATTATAGTTAACCCTTTGGTATATCTGAAAATTGTTAAAGTAAATCCTAAAAGTTCTCATCATAAGGAAAAAAAAAATACTCTTTTCCTTTTCGCATTTGTATCAGATAATGGATGGTAACTAAGCTTACTATGGCAATAATTTCACAATATATACAAGGCAAATCATTATGCTTACATTTATCCTGTGCTATATGTCAATTATATCTCGAAACTGGAAAAATAAAATTAGTCAACTCAGACAAGCGATATCATGTTTCTCTGTTCTAATAACAACTTTGAAAGCTAGCGGTTCCTGGCAACCTAGGCAAATAGAAAGTAAATTCCAAAAGGAAGCATAAACATGCTAACCCTCACTTTCCAGTAAGAATATATGCATTCATATTTTTTGCTTTGAGCAAATGACTCAAAATCCTTTTTAAAATGCACTTAAAAGCACAATAAATAATTTGGTCAAGCCCTGAATGGTGTGGCTCAGTGGTCTGGGCATTGTCCTGCAAACCAAAAGGTTGCTGGTTCTATTCCCAGTCAGGGTACATGCCTGAGTTGCAAGTGAAATGCAGTGTATGGATGTTACTCTTAACACTTTGAAGTTTATTTCCTACTCTTTTTCCCTTTCCTCCCCTCTCTCTGAAAATAAATTAAAAAAAAAATCTTTAAAAAATAATGATGATGATGATTTGGTTAACACCTAATTACTCAGGGACTTTTTCATTTCATCTAAAGAGTAACAAAATTCATTGAGCCCATGTACATAATCTGCAAGTTTACTTTTCAATAGGGCAAAGAGCCTCCAGATCAAGGCAATATTCGAAATGTCAAATTGTATACAAGTCAAATTGTAACCTAATTGTGACAAACAATTCTATTTATTCCTACTATTTTATATATTAAGTCAGCCCCCAAAAACCCTACTTGCCTTTCAAGTCCCCCCTAACCACCACAGAAAGATTCAAATTTGCATTTTAGAACAGAACATAGAAAGTGACCACAACCGAGTCTACACATTCAAAGACTACTTTTTAAACACACGCATATACATACCTCAGTACTCTGAATTATATTTACCTCACACTAATCAAAAAGCAACATAAAAATTGTTTACTAAAGAATAAAATCAGATTAAAGACAAGATATTTATAAATCAACAACAGTAATGAGATAAAGAATGAAATTAGATAGGCTTTGACCAAAATCAATACTGAACAAAATACCCAGGAATAGCCAAACTTGAAATAAACTGTTTATCCATGTAAATTAAACCTTTTATCCTCAGACTGCTGATCTATAGTTGCCAAAAAGTGGTTTATGTCTGTTATTTAATTATATTTATGTCTACAAATGTATCATTCTACAGAAGAACTTGAAATCAGTGAAGTGGCAAAAATTTGGTAGAATTAAATAATAATTCTCCATCATGCAGCTTCTAAAAATACAGTCATACCCCGGCACTCGTCGGCTTCCAAACTCATTAAACCCTGTACTCATACCATTTTGACAAGAAAAAAATATTTCAGCACTCAGCATTTGCTCAGGACTCATCGCACTTGCTAGAAATTGTATGAGTCACGATGCCGCTACTCAAGAGAAAATGCTTCATTGTTCGGTACTCATCAGTTTTGGCACTCATCACAAGTTCCAGAACAAATTAACGAGTACCAAGGTACCACTGTATTTTTATTCTTGAACAAGCTAATGTTATTAAAAATAAAATTAGCGTATCAAGTTTTTTTAAACTAAGCACTGAATTTTATATTGTGGAATAACCATTATTATATACCCTACAAAGTTCAAAACAAAAGGAAAATTAATCTCAAAGTAACTGAGAGCTTGTTAACAGCTTCCAATTTTCTTACATTTCCTACTTACCAATTTATCATTTTCACTGGGCATCTCAAAAACACATCTCAATTTAGAATCCATTAATTCATCGGGTTTTGCCTCTTTCCACTAAAAACAAACAAAACCAAACTTGAGACAGGAGAGAGATGATCATGAAAACAAGTTTCACTTCAAGGGACAACTAAAGGATTAGTGTAGCTGCTAGAGGCTGGAGTGCTGTCTTTGGCTCAGCCAAGATGCAACGCTGCACTGCACTGTGTTGATCGCCCTGCATAGTTATCTGGCAATGCCACAGAACTTTCTTTATAATCCTCCTAAAAATAGCTACTATTATTACCATCTGTTAAAATGACACAAACATCTCTAGAGATTACAGAACTTTCTCCTTAATAGCATTTCTAAATTGCTTCTAATAAGTATTATTTCAAAACTCTTTCATTCTTGCAGGATTATCTGTAATAAATAGATTTATGAATTTTTTAAAAATTAGTTTTCTCAACTGAGAACTAACAAAATCTACAGTTTAAACAACATTCTCCAAAATAAATTCTGTTCAATTTCTATACTTACCACAGCTTCCATATCTGAAATGTTTGGTGGAGCAAAAATTGTCTGTACCATAAACTTGTGTTTACTCTTTTCATTGGGATCATAGTCAAAAGGCTGTAGCATTACTAAACAAGGAAAAAAGGATACATTACATTGTATTCTGCATTTGTTTGCTTCTTATTCCTATTACATGATTCACCAGTATGCAAGTTTAAAAAAAACCAGGGAGGGTTCAAGAAACAACACTGGATTATTCACATTAAGGGTTCAGAATCAACTATATGTTTTCCACTTATTTTAAAAATTTCCATGTTTCTGAAATGCTAAGTCTTTAACAATTCACAAAATAAACAAGTGGGTATTAAAAATAAGTATCAATCTCTTGATAAACATATGTTTAGGAAAGTCTTTGAAATTTTGCCAAGATTAACTATTTTTAGCCCTTCAAACTTGGATAAAACCAAATAAATTTTCTATTAAAACTAGTTATAAATTTAGGCTTTATTTTAGTAGAGATAATACCTTTTCAAATTAGAAAACTGGATTATCTAAAGGAGATATGCTAAGTAACATAAAAACTCACTGCCACATATTAGTGTTCTATTATAACTTCTTAAAAATAGATTTTAAATAAACAACCATTCAAGAGTTGTTTATCAATTTGTTTAAACCTGATTCTAAGAAAACAAAGTATACAAGGAAATCATATGACCTCATGATTCCTAGAACTTTTCTAGCATCCAAATAATTACATTCAAATTTTCCTAAGCATTAGCCTACAAAAGAGGGTTTTTAGAGACTCCATGTTATTTTAAATTATGTAATATAAATCTAATAATGAATAAATCAGCAATCACATGTTAATACTTAGATTATTTCTGATATATATGCACATCAAAACTTTCAGAAAAAGAAATGCAATTAAGCAAACGCAAGAAATATCGATTATATAAGAAAGCATTATTTCTAAGCTATGTCTGAGAAGTCCATTAACTACTATTATGGTTAAAAATATTTTTAAAGGGCCAAATAAAATACAAAGCAGCAGAAAATGCAGAGGATAAACACCCAAAATCAAAAAAAAGCACAGTAAATTTCCATTACTACTCTTCACTGAGCAATCATTACAGGCTCATCACTACGAACTACGCAAAAAGAAAATTTCAAACATAGTTGTGACTTTATGACAGCTAAACTCTAAGGCTGCAAATAACAAGACTATCTCTTTAAAGATTGTCTTCTTGTTAATTGCAACCATACACGCATGTGCGCGCACACACACACAGAGAAAGGGCGTGCACAAGTGAGCACAAGCATGCGCAAGAGAGTTCACATTAAAGGGAAAGGGGAAAAAATGAGTATGTAAGTACAGACAATCAGGGAAAGTTGCTGGAGGAAGTGCAGTTTGAGTGACTCCTTATATGGAGAAGCACTGGGCTAAAAATTGGAAGAACAAGTTCCAGTGGGAGAAGAAGGATCTGAGGATGTGTTATGTAAATAATGGTGTCTCTGAAGTAAGGTGCTCAATATACGGAAGAAAGTGCTTTGAAGAGTATACGTTAAAAAAAATTAGTACAGTAAAATTTCAGCAATATAGAACTCTCAAAGAAAAAGTCATTCTGAATAGTTTTATGGATTCCCAGAGATGGAACTGTTTGCACCTAAAACTATTTTAACCATATAAATAGAAATAATTCTATTTTCTTCCAATTTAGAGAGCAACTTCCAAAATGCACGTACTCATTGTATTGTCTTATTTCCCATTCATTTTTTCCCCAGGAACTGATGGCTTGGACAAACAAATATAAAAGCATTACTCCAGGCCACCATACCACAAGATTCACTAAAAACATCTTTTCTAGGGCCTCCTTGCTCTGAGTTTTTACTATAGCTACTGAGGGAGGATTTAGGGTCATCGAGAACTTTGACTATGGTCTGTCCCCTGCTGCCTTTGCACTCAGGTCCTACTTCTGAATACTCTCAATGGATCTGCTCTTGGTTCTCACTCTTGATATATAATTTACTATTTTTAACTTCTGTGGCCTTGAAAACCAGTAACACTGATACAGAATTATTGTATCTTAGTACTGAATACTTCTCAGGAACACCCACCATGTTTTGTTTGTAAAGTACATATGTCCAGGCCATGTTCCCAGAGATTCAGATTGGGAAGGGTCCATGTGTGTTCCTACTCTGTTATTATGATGCACAGTTAAGAGTTGATAACTACTGCTACAAAGTAAGAGTAAATGGTCTTTTGAGAAGCCTGGGAGGTTCTCCCCTAAGTAAGATACAGTCTCATATTGGTTCCTATTTCTCAGCTGTAAGATGGTATCATTAGAAACTAATGTCTTGGGAAGGCTGAGAAAAGAAAGGAACATTTTATAGAAAGCATTAATTATGGCATCAGCACAGACTTTACAGCAAGAGTAAGCAATCCATACATGGAAGGAATCAAGTATACTCCCTGGACTACAAGTAAACACAGAAGGGAGTAACAGAAATAAAATTTTCAAGTTAGGGCACTGTTTACAATGAAAGGCAGAAATACTCAGATATCTAATCTGATACAATCAGCAAAAAGAGGCATTATATATTTTCAGCAAATATTCAAAATACTTCTATAGCTGCATGTAACATGTAACAACAGCTAGAGATCTGAGTAAGAATGAACAATCACAAAAATGTAACATTTCAAAGATAAAACAATAAGGGTAGGGAATATGGTAGTGAGCTATAGAAATAAAGATACACATTAAAGATACAAAATTTTATATTGACAATAGCTTATAAATTGACCATGTACCACCCCATCACAGATAAGCGTGAGAAATTTTCAGCAACAGTTTGCATATATATAAGAGAACAGGACATCATTAAAGGCAAAGCCAGATTAACTTAAAAACTCTCCTCTCCCACCAGATAAAACCCTATTAATTTTTAAGAAGAAGGGGAAGGGTCAAGTCAATGAACATGTATAAAGGACCCATGGACAAAGCCAAAGTGGGGAAGGACTGAGGGTGGGAGATGGGAGGTGAGGGTGGGTGGGGCATGGGTGGCGGAAAAACGGAGACAACTGTATTTGAACAATAAAATAGTAAGTTAAAAATAAAATAAAACTTCCATTAAAAAAAATTCCCTCTCCCACCAGATAAAATTCTATTAATTAAAACCAAATTAAAAATAATCATAAAATGTCAAAACTCAAAACTGTATAAATTCTAGATATGCTGTGTTACCTGAAACAGTCACAGTTGAACCTGGGTCAATAATTCCACTGTTGGGCCTCACACAGTACCTACGAGGTGCTGTAGTCTTCACTTTGAAACATACTTTTCTATCCGATGGATTTCGCAATTTAAGATTTGTAGTGACTACATCTGTGAAGGGGCCTGTAAAGTTCAAAAACCAAAAACAGGAAAAAAAATTAACTGGATTGTCTCACACATACATAAGAATTCAAAATTAAATGTATACAACCTCAATTTTATTTGAAGAATATATTGAAGTCTTTGTACCTAAATATACCAAATGAATAACAGTACTTTTCTCCCAGTGCCAGACTTACAAATGAGTTTTACTTTCTTCTTCATTCCTTACCGTATTTTTAAAAATTTCTACATGAGCATATATTATTTTTATCAAATAAAAAGTATTTTCAAAGTTTCAATTGGTGAAATAAGCCCACAATTAAATTCTTATACCCTAGTACCACATGACTAAAAAGATCAAGATTTTCCAATGGTGTGCAAATTAGTGCCAATCTTCAAACTCACTTTACTGAGTTTGCAAAATGCAAAAATCTCTACATCTGACAACAGGGCTCTTGCTTCACTGAGTCTGATTCATTCACTCATTCATTCATTCATTAACTTACATACTTGTTAAGTATTTATGACCACTGTGCCAATACTCTAGATACAAAGTTTGTTTGTTTTTTACAGATTTTATTTTTTTAGAGAGAGGGGAAGTGAAGGAGAGAAACATCGATGGGTTTTTGCCTCTCCATGCCCCAACCCGAACATCTGGCCCACAACCCAGGCACACATTCCATGACCAGGAATCCAGCAGGTAACCTTTCCCTTAGACAGAAGGCTCCCAACTCACTGAGCCATACCAGTCAGGACTAGATACAAAGTTTTAAAGCTTTGGTTCTACATCCTAGCAACACAAAACAATCCAAACAGGTGATCCAGTCCTGCCTGAATTAAATAAATCCTAAAACATTATTTTAAAGGAGAGGGAAAAAAGATTACACCCATTTTTTTTTCCCTCTGGGCTAAAGAAAAGTCTAAAGACAGATTTACAGATTAGACAATAAAACAAATACCTGTTAATTTAGAAACAGAGCATGAATTTAAAAATGTGTGCCAATAAGAAGCAATAACCACACACCTTTAACTAACCAAAAACCAATTTTAAATGGTATTTAAAACAATCGATTTTTAAATAGTTTTTTAAAGAGCCAGAAGACTGAAATCAAGAATAACTAATTAAAAGCCTTTATTTAAATAAACAAGAGTAAGCATGTCTTTTAAAACTGTAAAAATAAGTACATCTGCCTAATGCAATCAGAGGAAGGGAAAGAAATTTCAAATGCAAGGCTTGTAAAACGCACTTATTTCAAGTCCTAGGAAGGGGAATTATAAAAACCATATATTTAAAGTTTCTGAGTTATAGAGGAATCAAGATGGTGGAGGAGAGACTGGAAGTCACACTGACCTCCTCCCAGGATGAATTAGGAATTACAACTAAATTGTGGAGAAATCAACTGGAACAAACACCTGAATAGCAAGAGGGGAGCGTTATAACCTCAGACAGAAGAATCACTTTAGCACAACTTAACTGGTAAAAAGTGTCGTAGAGACTCAAGAAGATGGGCGGGGCAACCACACACGGCTGAGCCAGAAGCATATTGAAATGGCCAATTCAGGATTCTCCAGAAAAGAGTGGCGTCTAAACCATAAGCAGGGATCTCCAACCTACAGCACCAGAACCCAAAATGTACACATATAACAGCCAGCTGTGAAAAGCTGCAGGGTTGCTCTCTGCCAGAAACAGGTGGCTGGAGACACAAAGAGGCATTAGATGGAGGGCCAACGCATAAATTTTTATAGGCAGCCACTGACCCTGGGCTGTCACACCACAAAGTTAGGAAATCAAGACACATCAATTTAAGAAGCAGAAGCAAAAAGAAGAGTCTCACAAAAACGGGAAGACAAAGAAACACCCTCCCACTCAAAGGGAAAAGAGGAATCCCCAGAAAGACAACAAAATGAAATAGAGGTAAGTCAATTATCAGATATTGAGTTCAAAAGAGCAGTTCTAAGGAAGCTCAGTGAGTTCCAAGAGAACTACAAAAAACTATAGGGAAACTACGAGGAACTTACTGCAAACTATATCAGACTGAAGAAGGACACAGAAACTATCAACAACAGGCAAGAGGAAATGAATACAATTTCTGAACTGAAGAACACAGTAGAAGGAATCAAAAGCAGGCTACATGAAGCGGAAGATCAAATCAGCAAGCTGGCAGATAAGGTAGGAAAAAAGCTCCCAGAAAGAGCAAGAAAATGAAAAAAGACTCAAAAAGAATGAAGACGTGGTTAGGGAAATGCAGGACAACTTGAAACGTAGTAATATCCATATATAGGGATGCCAGAAGGAAGAGAAGAAGAGGACCAAGGGATAGAGAACCTGTCTGAAAACATAATGAGGGAAAACTTCCCTAATTGGAGGAGAGAAGTCGTCACACAAGTCCAGGAAGCGCAGAGGGTCCCATTCAAGAGGAACCCAATGAGGCCCACTCCAAGGCACATCATCATTAAAATGGAAAACAGCAAACACAGACAAAGAATTCTAAAAGCAGTAAGGGAGAAACAGGTAGTAACATACAAGGGAGCCCCAATACAGCTAGCAGCTGACTTCTCAACAGACACACTACAAGCCAGAAGGGAATGGCGAGAAATATTCCGAGGAATGAAAACAAAAGCCTGCAACCAGGACTGCTCTACCCAGCAAGGTTCTCAACTGAAATGGAAGGCAAAATAAGGCGTTTCCCAGACAAAAGAATGCAAGAAGAATACACCTCCACCAAACCAGATTTGCAAAATATGCTGACGAGACTGCTTTAAGGAGATGAAGAAAGAGAGTCTATGAATACCCAGCTCCTTTCACAGTCACCAATACTTGACATTATCAATATTTTTAATGCTTATTAATTTGATTGTGACAATGTTGTTACTTTATTACTTTTTGAAACTAAACCTAGTTTTGTGTATTTCTTACCCTTTCTATTATTTTTAAAAAGCTGTAAATGTCTTTTTGGTATTCTTTATCCTTTTTTTTATTAAGTAGAATTTTTTCCCTTAAAAACAAAACAATTAACCCTTTTTCAGATGTGTTGCAAATACTTTCCTATTCTATTACTTGTTGTTTAACTTATTGAATATTTTACTACAGGGTAAGAAAAATATTGTTTTGTATTTTCTCTGAAAACTCCTTAGATTTTACATATTGATTTTTAACTCATCTGAGTATTTTTTGTAAAAATGTGTGAAATAGGGCTCTATATTTGTTTTATTTTAAGTAATAGTGGTCCACGGACCTTATTTGTTGAATAAGCCTTATTTTTGCCATTGATTTGAAATATCAATTTAATCATATATTACAATGTTATACATATACATTTCTTTCTAGAACGCTCATTTTATTTAATTGACCTACTTGATTATTTCTGTGCTGGTGTCATATTGTTTTAATTGTTGAGACTTTATAATGAATTTAAATTTTTTAACATGTTATAATGGATTTTAACATTTAAAAAATAAATAAAATCAATCTGCATTAAAAAGAAAAGAAGGAACTCCTACCTTTTGCGACAACATGGATGGAACTGGAGAATATTATGCTAAGTGAAATAAGCCAGTCGGTGAAAGACAAATACCATGTGCTCTCACAAGATCAACTAACGATCAAAATAAACCACAGGCATGGAAACATGGAGCAGACTGAAAGTGACCAGAGGGGATGGGGAAGGAGGACAATGGTGGAAAGAAGGGGAAGGGACTAAACAAAGAGCATGTATGAATGACCCATGGACAAGGGCAACAGAGTGGGAATCCACTGTAGGAGCGGGGAGCCAGTGGGATGGGTGGAGGAGAGCAAAGACGAAAAAACTGAGACAACTGTAACAGAATAAACATGATTTTTAAATTAAAAAAATGAAAGAAAGAAGTTTCTGAGTCATAAATTATTTTCTAACAAATAAAGATTTGGAACCTGGATGAGAGGATGAAGACAGAAACAGGAGAACATTAGAAGAAAATATATAAAGGCAGAGAACCAATTACAGAAAATACTGTAAAAATAGCTAATTAAATCAACAGGTATGCATGTCTTTCGTGGGATAAAAGTATATATACAACATACAGGGTGGGGAAAAAGTAGGTTTACAGCTGTTTGAATGGAAAATAATACAATGATTAATAAATAATAATACATGAATAAACTGTTTCCTGTATTCACAATCGTAAATCTACTTTTGCCCCACCCTATATATATGAAGTGCAATCTTGAACAGTCTGCTTTACTTAATTATATGGTTCAGTTAATCATTCAATTTGTTTACCATTTTACACACTTTGCTGCTTCTTTAATCCCAGCTGCTTGCATTTTATCATCAGCGGCTGATTTTAACAACTCCACCACATATTGGCACATGAGAATAAAGGTCCATGTGGACCTTTTTGCCAATGTGTCCATTTTATCACATAAATCCATAAAATGGTTGGCTACTGATGCATCTTAAACTGCTGATAAAACTAGGAATTTTAAAGGCATAGATTCCATTTCTCAACATTCTCCACGTCCAATGATTACTACAGGTAAGGGAGAATGTATAAATTTGTACAGGACTATCTCAACTAGGACTTTAACATGACAAAACAAACAGTTCACAAAATTTTACTTTTGAACAATCATATTTTCATAACATGATTATGTAAGGTTTTTAAATTTTTATTGAATTTTTGTAATTCTCAATTTTAAAAAAAACACCAATTATCCAAAATAAAGTAAAATAAACTATTTTTAGGCTAATTTAGAAAATAAACATGTTATTTTCCATCAACATATGAATTCTGGAACAGTACTTAAACTTTATATTGCCTAGCAGGGCTTATAAATCTTCAATAATAGATTGTGATCCTTGAAGATATAAAAATGCAAACTACCTAAGGATGAAAATAATATGTCAAAGAAAAAAACACCTATTTCAAACTAAATTCTTAACTAGCCTTATCAGTAAAATGTAAAATTATCTAAAACAAACCCACCTAACGAATGAAATTTTTTGTTCCTTGTGTCCCTCTAACCAAGCCTCTCAACAAGG